CGCCCAGAGTGGAGTGCAGTGGCCGCTCCCGGCCACCGCAACCTCGACCTGCTGGGCTCTGGCGATCCTTCCGCCTCAGCCTTCCAAGTAGCTGAAACTACAGGCGTGCGCTACCACGCCCAGAAAAATAAATAATAAGATGACAAACATAGAAAGCCAAATTAATCTAGATGAAGAGAGAATATCAGAACTTGAAGAACAGAACATGTAATTAATCCGATCTGTAGAAAACATAGAAAGAAAACTCAGAAAGAAAGAACAAAGCCTACAATAGATGTGCGATTATATCAAGAGGCCGAACCTATGCCTGATTGGTATCCCAGCAGAAGAAAGGGAAATGGAGAACAACTTGGAGCAGGTGTTCCAGGAGATAATCCAAGAAAACTTTCCCCATCTCACCAGAGATGTGACCAGCTAAGCACAAGAGATGCAGAGAACCCCCACAAGACATCAAATGAGAAGACCAACTCCTAGATACATAGTAATTCGCCTACACAAAGTAGGCACAAAAGAAAAATTCCTAAAGGCAGCAAGAGAGGAAGGTCAGACTACTTACTGGGGAAAACCAATCAGAATAGCAGCAAACCTATTGGCAGAAACACTGCAAACAAGAAGGGACTGAAGTCCAATATTCAAAGTCCTCAGAGATAAACAATCTAAACCAAGAATTTCCTATTTAGCCAAGCTCAGCTTCATCAGTGATAGAGAATTAAAATCCTTCCCAGACATCCAATCCCTAAGAGATTATGCAGCTTCCAGACCAGCTCTACAGGAGACACTTAAAAAGGTATTAAGCACAGAAGAAAAAAAAATGATTACACACTTCCCAGGAGAACAGCAGAGCAGAGAATACAGCACAACAAGAAGCTTGGAAACACGCACATACATCAACCCCAAAGCCAAAAGAAAACAAGCAAAGAAAAACCTTTATAAGAACCTCACGACAGGCATAAACAATCACATTTCAATACTTAGCCTGAATGTGAATGGACTAAATGAACCACTGAAAAGACACAGAATGGCAAACTGGATAAGAAACCATGACCCAATTGTTTGTTGCATCCAGGAAACTCATCTCAGCACAAGGAATGCACACAGACTCAAAATTAAAGAATGGAAAATGAGTTTCTAGGCAAATAGATCACAAAGGAAGGCAGGATCTTAACATCAGACAAAACAAACTTTAAGCTATCAAAAATTTAAAAAGATGCAAAAGGACACTACATAATGATA